AGTCCCTGACATGGCCAACGTCGCCGACACCAAGCTGTACGACCTTCTCGGGGTTCAGCCCGGCGCCACCGAGAACGAGCTGAAGAAGGTGAGTCAGGGGGCGCCGGAGACCGGCCTAAAGGAGAGTATGGTGAGGGGGGGGGAGGCCAGGAGACCGGCTTGATATAACGAAGTCAGGGTAGCGGGGGTTTAACACCGGTTTTGGGGAAGCGACACCGATGTGTCAAGCCTGAGGGGAAAGGGGGGGCCTGGAGACCGACGTTATCAGAGGGGGGCCTGAACACCGGCCTTCTCTAAGGGGGGGTGGCCTAAACACCGGCCTTGGGGTGACCAGGCTCCTCCCCCCTACAACCTGCATTGTTTTGGTTTATACTCTCCTATTACTCAGCTGGTTTGAGGCCTACATGTGCAAAGTCAGAGGCTGCCCTGGTGATTTAGAAAGCAGTGGATCTGATATTCAGCCAACTTTCACTGCAGGTGGATCTTCCAGTTGCATGTGATTTACATGATTATTTAATTCACCACCGGAGAATGTTTGAGTCACATTCACTGCTTCTATAGAGTCTCCGGTGTGGTCTCCTACAGGGAGATTCCCCCTTGCTTGAGCAAAAGGCAATCGGGAAATAAAAGTGAAACTCGTAGGGCTTCAGTGAAGCTGCGTCGATCTGCATAGACCAGGCATAGGTAACCTCGGCACTCCAGCTGTGCTGAAACTACAATTCCTTTCATGCCTCTGGCTGTCAGTCTTGCAGTGGGCTCATGGGACTTGTAGTTCCACAACAGCTGGAGTGCCGAGGTTGCCTACACCTGGAGTAGACCAAGGCCTACTCAAAGCCAATTGTTTTCTATGTGACCTGTTCACACCACGTCGCCCTGGTTTACATCTGGGCCATTTGAAGCCAGCCTAACAAGCAGTTTCCTGCTCCTAGTAACTATAGAGCTGGGGTAGGAAAAGTCCACCTCCCCCTCGGAACTACTAATCCCATGAGGCATTGCAATACTCTAGCAGCCACAAGCCTGACTCCCTGAGGCAAACGCATGATGGGATTTGTAGGTTAACCACAGCTGGAGTGCCAAGGTTGCACTAGTAGCTCACAAAGAAGAGAGAAGATTGTTTGTGTTTTAATTTTAGCTCACAGGAAGTGACAAGGACACGGCATTTCTGGCAGGCTCAACAGGTATTTTCTGTACGAGGTGGAGATGTTTAGGCCAGCTGTCAGCACCATGGGAATGAATGACACTAATCCAGGGAGGGTCGGATCCATTTAGAAAACGATGGACGTTCACCTCTGTCCAGGGCCTGCTGCTGCAGCTGCAACTCATGGTGTGATTGGGGAACTGAGGTCTCTCATGTGAAAGGAGGAGGCACCTAATGTGAAGAGGGAACTTTGATGTGAAGGGAGTACCCTGATATGAAAGAAGGAGGCACCTAATGTGAAGGGGGAACTCTAATATGGAGGGAGTACCCTGATATGAAAGGAGGAGGCACATAATGTGAAGGTGGAATTCTAATATGGAGGGGGGACTCTGATGTGAGAGGAGGCATCTAATGTGAAGGGAGTACTCTGATGTGAAAGGAGGAGACGTCTAATATGAAGGGGGAACTCGGATATGAAAAGAGGAAGGACGTAATGTGAAGAGAGATCTCTGATTTGGAAGGAGGAGACATCTAATGTGAAGGAAAACTCTGATCTGGAAGGATGAGGCACATAATGTGAAGGGGGAACTCTAATGTGAAGGGGGAACTCTGATGTGAAAGGAGGAGGCACCTAATGTGAAGGGAGAACTCTGATGTGAAAGGAGGAGGCACCTAACGTGAAGGGGGAACTCTGATGTGAAAGGAGGAGGCACCTAATGTGAAGGGAGAACTCTGATGTGAAAGGAGGAGGCACCTAACGTGAAGGGGGAACTCTGATGTGAAAGGAGGAGGCACCTAATGTGAAGGGAGAACTCTGATGTGAAAGGAGGAGGCACCTAACGTGAAGGGGGAACTCTGATGTGAAAGGAGGAGGCACCTAATGTGAAGGGAGAACTCTGATGTGAAAGGAGGAGGCACCTAACGTGAAGGGGGAACTCTGATGTGAAAGGAGGAGGCACCTAATGTGAAGGGAGAACTCTGATGTGAAAGGAGGAGGCACCTAACGTGAAGGGGGAACTCTGATGTGAAAGGAGGAGGCACCTAATGTGAAGGGAGAACTCTGATGTGAAAGGAGGAGGCACCTAACGTGAAGGGGGAACTCTGATGTGAAAGGAGGAGGCACCTAATGTGAAGGGAGAACTCTGATGTGAAAGGAGGAGGCACCTAACGTGAAGGGGGAACTCTGATGTGAAAGGAGGAGGCACCTAATGTGAAGGGAGAACTCTGATGTGAAAGGAGGAGGCACCTAACGTGAAGGGGGAACTCTGATGTGAAAGGAGGAGGCACCTAATGTGAAGGGAGAACTCTGATGTGAAAGGAGGAGGCACCTAACGTGAAGGGGGAACTCTGATGTGAAAGGAGGAGGCACCTAATGTGAAGGGAGAACTCTGATGTGAAAGGAGGAGGCACCTAACGTGAAGGGGGAACTCTGATGTGAAAGGAGGAGGCACCTAATGTGAAGGGAGAACTCTGATGTGAAAGGAGGAGGCACCTAACGTGAAGGGGGAACTCTGATGTGAAAGGAGGAGGCACCTAATGTGAAGGGAGAACTCTGATGTGAAAGGAGGAGGCACCTAACGTGAAGGGGGAACTCTGATGTGAAAGGAGGAGGCACCTAATGTGAAGGGAGAACTCTGATGTGAAAGGAGGAGGCACCTAACGTGAAGGGGGAACTCTGATGTGAAAGGAGGAGGCACCTAATGTGAAGGGAGAACTCTGATGTGAAAGGAGGAGGCACCTAACGTGAAGGGGGAACTCTGATGTGAAAGGAGGAGGCACCTAATGTGAAGGGAGAACTCTGATGTGAAAGGAGGAGGCACCTAACGTGAAGGGGGAACTCTGATGTGAAAGGAGGAGGCACCTAATGTGAAGGGAGAACTCTGATGTGAAAGGAGGAGGCACCTAACGTGAAGGGGGAACTCTGATGTGAAAGGAGGAGGCACCTAATGTGAAGGGAGAACTCTGATGTGAAAGGAGGAGGCACCTAACGTGAAGGGGGAACTCTGATGTGAAAGGAGGAGGCACCTAATGTGAAGGGAGAACTCTGATGTGAAAGGAGGAGGCACCTAACGTGAAGGGGGAACTCTGATGTGAAAGGAGGAGGCACCTAATGTGAAGGGAGAACTCTTGATTATATATATTTTTTTTGGTGTGCTTTTGCATCCCCCCTAAAATCTGTACCAGAACTCTATCACCCATAAGAGCCTGGTATGGATTTTGAACGACCCACACATTTAAAAAAAAAAATTAATTTTAGACGGGTGCCTCGAGATTTTGCATACTTTTAAAGAGTGCCATGAGTGCAAAAAGTTAAGAAAGAAAGACTGCCGAGGTCAAGCTCCATTCTGTATGACCCCATATGACCTGTAGCTGCTGCCATGAAACATTTCATAGTGGCCATGGCTCAGGATAGCTCTAAAAGCGCAACAACAGACCTCCGCACCGCAGAGAACAGGAAGGTGACAACTAGTGATGTCGCACAAAAACTGCTTCCCATTGGCCTACACAAAATTGTATTAGAATTAAAAACGCCCATAAAAATTTCCAATAACACTGGAAGAAGCTCAGATGGTAACCTAGACCAAGGCGTGTATAGAAATGTGAACATGCTGCATTTTTTTTCGAAACAGCACCTCATGTCACCACCGATAACTAAAATGACATTTTGTCACATTTTAATAAAGTTAAAGGAGAATTATGAGGCGCGTCATTTTCACTGAGCCGACCTGTGACAATGAGACTGTCACGGGTCGGCTCAGTAGATCGGGAAGTGAGGGAACACATACCGGCACTCGCTCACTTGTCGATCTATGCCTGCAGAGAGCCGTGACTCAATCACGGCTCCCTGCAGGGATCCCCCCCTCCCCTGTCCGATCCTCCAGCGCTGACTGGCGAAACGGACGGGGGAGGGGGCGGGCACAGCTGGCTCTGCCTCTGGATAGGCAGAGCCCAGCTGTCAATCCCGCAGCTGGGCGGATCCAGACAGTAATGTTGTAGTAGCCTAAGGCATGGCCTGTCACTGCCGCTACACACACATGGTTTAGTGTGCATCGTGGTGTGAACAAACCCTGACCGTTTCCATCATCTTCCTTCATCTTATACAGTTCAAGGATGTTGTAAATGTTATTGTAGATCCAAATGTGTCTTCTGTCAATGGTGAGCTAGGCCG